CTGAAGTCCATGGGCGACGGTAACCACTCACCATCAGGTGGGCCGTATGCTCGTCTGCTTACAAGGGCAATAAAAAAAATTGGGGGGGGGAGGAACAACATGTGCGGGTTTTACTCCCTGCTACAGTGCCTGTACATAATTTTTTTAAGGGATTTTATGACCTGGTAACTAAAACCTTTAGTTCAAGTCTTATTTTAATTTATATTCTTATTTTTATGAAAAATTATAATATGAAGTGAAATGAAATGAGATGAGATGATATGGTATGAAATATAATCTCAGTAAAATGGTGGTCATTTACTGAGATTTTTTCAGTGGTATTTTTGGAGGATCCCGAGAAGCTACGTCTAGCGGCTTTGTTTAATTTTCCCACATTTATGCACTTTCACAGATATAAAATAATAATAAACCACCGTTATTACACATTTATATCAGAGGAAACACTAAATAGACAAAATAAAAGAAATCACACAACTTCACTCCTCGCGTTCCCGCCAAAAAGTCCAATTACCTACTTTTTTTTAAGACATTTTATGACCTGGTAACTGAGACCTTTAAGTCATGTATTATTTTAATTTATATTATTCATATTTTTATGAAAAATGATATTATGGAGTGAAATGAAATGAAGATGATTAATTTGAGACACTAATCAACTGGGATGAAATTAAATGAAATGAATTGAGATGATATGGGATGAAATATAATCTTAGTAAAATGGTGGTCATTTACTAAGATTTTTTCAGTGGACTTTTTGGAGGATCCCGAGAAGTTACGTCCAGCGGCTTTGTTTCATTTTCCCACATTTGTGCACTTTCACAGATATTAAACAGTTAATAAACCACCATTATTACACATTTAAACCCGAAGAAACACTAAATAGACAAAATAAAACAAATCACACTCCTCGCGTTCCCGCCAAAAAGTCAATTACCTACATGGTGTAATATTACCACAGTATATAAACTTGATATTTTCGTTCTTAATGCCAGACAGGCCGACAGACATACAGCCCTCCCGAAGATAAAGTTGTCATAGATTAATAAGTATAAGTAGGCAGCAGCTTGGCTCTGCCCATAGCATTGCTGGGGTCCATAGGTGACGGTAACCACTCATCACCAGGTGGGCCCTATGCTCGTCTGCCTACAAAGCAATAAAAAAAAATTTTAATATATTTTTTTGTACTCTTCTTAAAACTGATCAATTTTTTTAGTATCTAGTTCTTTTATTTCTCCCTAAGCACCTGTCATTTTTGTGTGTACTGTGACATTGGCAAAATCAATTCCTAAGGCGTTAAAAGCATTTTTTTTTTAAATAAAATTAATTGGGTGTCGTCGACTGTTTACCATTCAGTCTACAGGATCGGGTATGTAGTTTCCAGCGGCCACGACAAGAGGGTTCTCATGTCGAAGATCTCCGAAAACTAGATTAGCTAAAGTGTTCATAGATTAATGAGTTTCTGTGACGGAGCCACTGTTCCAGACGGCACATACAGCAGGTGTCGGTGGCGGGGAGGTGCGAGCGCTTCGTGTGCCAGGACTGCGGGGAGGCCTTCAGGACGCCCTCGCAGCTGAAGACGCACGGCATCAAGCACTGGCAGTGCAAGAACTACTACTGCGTCGAGTGCGACAAGTCAGTACTGGTAGCACCCGACAAACGCACCGGTTCAGATATTGAAACTATATCTATACTAACAATATAAACTAGTGGTCCCGCAGTAGTCGAAATTCGACTATAATTGAGGCCTATAAAATCAAAGGCAGCTAAACGTCTTAATGTCGTAAAATGGATTAACAATGGCGCTATCTTGTTTAGTTTGACACTCTTTAGTGTTTTCATGTTTTAACAAATGCAGCTAGATCTCTCACAAATTGTGACGTGTTTAGGGCCGATTTTTGTAGTTTACCTGAATATTTGACAGACTTGGATTTAGCTGTCTTTGATTTTATAGGCCTCAATTAGTTAAAATCATAAGTTTAAACATTATTATGGTTCTATTGTCAAAGACCGTTATACTTCTATAAAAGCAGATTTCGCCAAGACTATACTACTATAGACTATAGACAAACAATATTAAAGATAAACCATATTAACCTTTTCTCAATTTGACCACAGACTTAAAGCAATAACAAAAGTTTGACAGTAAAAGAATATATTTAAGTGTGTGTGTGTGTTAAATATAATATTTCTGAAGCTCATTCTGTTTTTGTTTTTTTCAGAAGTTTCAAATCGCCTTATTCGTTGAAGACTCATTTACGAACGTCCTCATCGCATGTCAAATACAAAGAGTTACCGTGAGTAATTTTCGATATATATAAATACCGCGTCGTGGGGAGCCGGGGTTAAGCAGGAGTCCACGGTGAGCGCTGAACTTGAGGAAACTTTGAGCTTTTTTTAGCTTAGATGAGTGGACTTGCACACATGGTGTTGATTTATTACCGGAGCCCATGGACATCTACAACGTCAATACCGCCACTCACCTTGAGACATGATATCTACATACATGTCGAGGGGGAAAGGCTATTTGCAAAGCGACACTCTTGCAACAGTACAAGAGAGCCATTGAAAGGTTTTAAATTTGGAAAAAATATCATAAAAAACTTCTTTAGCTAATTGAATGGTGTAAACATAATTAAAATTGAATTAAAAACATCGTACTGTTGATGCTAATACCAAATAAAATACATCTTTAATTACAAATACAAGTTTTTATTTTTTTTTTTTTTTATTGACCTTGGCGGCAGACGAGCATACGGCCCACCTGATGGTGAGTGGTTACCGTTGCCCATGGACTTCAGCAATGCCAGGGGCAGAGCCAAGCCGCTGCCTACCATGTTTCGCGTATTAAGCGAAATATGGCCTAAAATTGTACTGTACTGAGACCTTAGAACTTATTTCAAGGTAGGTGGCGACATTTATGTTGTAGATGTGTATGGGCTCCGGTAACCACTTAACACCAGGTGAGCCGTGAGCTCGTCCACCGATCTAAGCAATAAAAAAAAAAAACAAATCGTCGCTGTGAAACCAAAATCTGCTACGTGCAAAAACTCTATTTTGAATTCACGAGTAAAATATTTTCGTATAAAATTTTATATTAAATGAAAGCTATAGATAAATATTAAGATAAAAATTAAGATAAAAATTAAGATAAATGAGTCGACTATTATCAAAGCCGGCAATCTGACTTTTGGACAATGATTGGTAAATCAGAAAAACGAATTATTGACTTTGTATTCCATTGGCAGTCACAAAACTCTTCGGAACGACATCTTAGATAAATAACAGGCTAACTATTAACCTTTATTTAATGCAGGTTTTGAACCGTATTCTTTGAGGGAGACGATTATATTCAAATCAATCTGTATTGACATATCAATAAAAAACTTTTGTCCAAATGCACAGATTGCCACCTTTGATAATAGACGACTCAAATATTAAAATAATATTAAGATAAATATTAAGCTATAGACACATAACATTTTTTTTATATACGGTAGATAGGGCTGTGAACTATACGAAAAGATCAAAAAGGAAAAATCTCAAAAATTGCACTTAGCAGATTTTGGTTTGACAACGACGAAATAGCCTTTCATACCTCGATATGATAAATAAGATAAATAGCAATTCCACGTCCTTACGGATCCATCAGATCCAATAACCTTAGCATTAGACGTCTTCAGCTCTAACGCTAGGAGCAGGCTTAGGGACTCCGGTAACCGTACAAAGAGGTCGACGTGCAACCTAGCCCATGCATCAGCCCGCTGAATTTCTCGCCGGATCTTCTCAGCGGGTCGCGATTCCGATCCGGTAGTAGATTCATTCGCGAAGCAATTGCTCTTGAGTTGTTAGGTCTCCTTCGGAGGCGCTCGGGCAGTAGTTAGCAAATCCCACCCTTCTGGCTGAGCCCTTGCCCGCCCACCTGTCCTGGTGAAACTGGAAAGGCCTTCGGGCCACCAGTAATCTTTCAAGCATAAAAAAAATCAAGTATACGGTCCACCTGATGAGGAGTGGTTATTGTCGCCCATGGACGCCGACAATTCAAGGTCATGACACACTGTGGATAAATAGGTAAAGGTTTTTTTTTTTTTCAGATTAAAATGTCTACATTGCGAGAAACGTTTTGCGGTCAAACGAGATTTGGAGCAGCACACGAACCGGATACACCTGAACATCAGGCCGTTCAAGTGCGACCGCTGCGACAAGGTCAGTAGCTACTGTGACGCCCCTCGCCGAGAGATGGCGCTGGCGATGCTTGTCTTTTTTTTTATTGTTTAGATGGGTGGACGAGCTCACAGCCCACCTGGTGTTAAGTGGTTACTGGATCCCATAGACATCTACAAGGTAAATGCGCCACCCACCTTGAGATATAAGTTCTAAGATCTCAAGTATAGTTACAACGGCTGCCCCACCCTTCCAACCGAAAGCCGTTACTGTTTCTCGGTAGAAATAGGCAGGGCGGTGGTACCTCAGAGAGAAACTCAGTGGGCTGTGTCTGTGGGTTAATTTACTTGTCGAGCCCTTAGCCGCAAGCGACGGGTTAGACGAGAACGATGACTGGGGCTTGTGGTACCTAAAAGCACCGTTAGAGGATCGGGAGGATCCGAGATGACGTGTTTTGAAGGACGTTCTGTGACGAGTATGGAAGGAGAGAACATGTTGCGCCGACCCCAAGTGACTGGGAGAAGGGCAGGAGAATGATGACTGTTGTTATTGTTACAGGCGTACGTGAGCTCTTCCTCGCTTAAGGAGCACATCCGGATGACGCACGAGGGGTACAAGCGACCCCTCAAGTACCCCTGTCCGACTTGTCACAAAGTATTCGATGTAAGTTGTCATTTATTTTGGCTCAAACTCAAACACCCCTTAGCTATACCTACTTTTATTACTAAAAAAAAAAAAAAATTAATCACATAACTTTCGCTTTTCTTATAATACATAAGTTGCCTAAGGCGATTTGGTTTAAGTGTGATTTTTGTAACTTTGTTGGAGAAATATTAAAAAATAAAAAAAATTATCTTAACAAAAAACTTTTTTAGTCTCAGTATCTACCCGCGCGGACTTAAAAGAGGTCCTACCACCGGTAATTACGCAAATTATAATTTTGCGGGTTTGATTTTTATTACACGATGTTATTCCTTCACCGTGGAAATCAATCGTGAACATTTGTTGAGTACGTATTTCATTAGAAAAATTGGTACCCGCCTGCGGGATTCGAACACCGGTGCATCGCTAGATACGAATCCATCGGATGTCTTATTCTTTAGGCCACGACGACTAAATTGTGTAGTTTTAAATAATGATTTACGATCATGAACAAAAAATAATTATTATTTCATATTAATGCGAAACGTGAACAGTTACGCTGTAAGTAGCGTTAAAAGGGATATCGTAATTGGAACAGAGTATAATCTATATATTAATACGTGAAGCAAAAACTTTGTATCCCTTTTTGCGAAAATTGCGGGGACAGAGGAGTATGAAATTTCCCACACTTATAGAGAATATAGAAAAGAAGTGCACAATGCTAATATTTTTTTTACATAATGCATAAAAGATACATTAAATCAAGAAAGGAAACATCACACACACTACCATGTATTTGACACACACACGCATGCAANATATATTAATACGTGAAGCAAAAACTTTGTATCCCTTTTTGCGAAAATTGCGGGGACAGAGGAGTATGAAATTTCCCACACTTATAGAGAATATAGAAAAGAAGTGCACAATGCTAATATTTTTTTTACATAATGCATAAAAGATACATTAAATCAAGAAAGGAAACATCACACACACTACCATGTATTTGACACACACTACCATGTATTTGACACACACACGCATGCAAACTATTTGTTTATTGTCAAACTGTTCTTATTGCTTAAAGTCTTCTGTCATATTGAGAATAGATTAAATATTGTTTGTCTTTGTTAATATTTGTCTAAAGTGTAGTCTTGGCGAAATCTGTCATTATAGAAGTACAAGATGATGACCGAGCTTTGCTCGTTTTTTTTTTGATAACGCCATCTCGTTGTGTCTTTAAAGCGGCTAGTTGCCCTCAATTAAGAAAAATAGTATTATTAGTAATTATTGAAAACACGAATAAAACATTTTCTGAAAATAAATCGTAGCTAGACCGATTTATCGCCCCCGAAATCCCCTGTATACTAAATTTTATGAAAATCGTTGGAGCCATTTCCGAGATTCAGATTATATATAATTAATTATATTAATATACAAGAATTGCTCGTTTAAAGGTATAACATAATAAAAAGTCTATAGAACCTTAATAATGTTCAAACTTATAATTTCATTTAATTGTAGTCGAATTTCGACTATTGTGTCCACTAGTAAATATAGATTGTTGATAGCGTAATCAGATACTGAAGACTCACATTCGCACGCACACCGGCGAGCGCCCCTACCGCTGCGGCAAGTGCCCGGCGCAGTTCAGCCAGGCCGGCGTGCTCGCCACGCACAACAAGCTCGTGCACCTCAAGCTCACCAGGGACGGGAGACCGAAGCCCGCGCCACCCAAATAAACTATGCGGAAGCAACTTGCAGTTTTATTTGTAACGAGCTCCACAAACTGACCCGATCCACTGGCCTTTGTAATATAAATAGGTCGGGGAAAAAGTTTCTTCGCATTTTTCGGTTTGAAGGGCGGGGCCCTTATTGGACTAAACATACCTTGAGATATGAGGTTAAGGTTTTATCAGTTTGATAGTTTTGCTGCAGGCACTTTTTAGGAAATTAGTTTTATTTGAAGTTGCTTGCTGCTTTTTACTGGTGGTAGGACCTCTTGTGAGTCAGTACGGGTAGGTACCATCGCCCTGCCTATTTCTGCCGTGAAGCAGTAATGCGTTTCGGTTTGAAGGGTGGGGCAGCCGTCGTTACTATACTTGAGACCTTAGAACTTGTAACTCAAGGTAGGTGGCACATTTACGTTGTAGATGTCTATGGGCTCCGGTAACCACTTAACATCAGGTGGGCTGTGAGCTCGTCCACCCTTCTAAGCTATAAAAAAAGATTATTATTTCAAATTATGCGAAACGTGAACAGTTACGTTCTAAGTATCGTCAAAAACCGAAGCCAGCGCCACCCAAATAAATCATGCGGAAGCAATTTGCAGTTTTATTTGTAACGAGATCTACCTGACCCGGACTCCACTGGCCTTTGTAATATAATTCGGTCGGGGAAAAAGTTTTTCCGCATTTTTTTAAATGAAAATTCACAATATTTTTGAAGTAATTTGAAGTGCAACTTCTTTATAATCGTTGTGATTTCAAACTCGATGAAACGAAAAAATAAGTCCATAGAGACAAACACAAAAATGTATAGGATTCAGCCGGCGCAAGAATGAGATAGCACATATAAGCGTTCTCAGTGTAGTTTTTTTTAATACAGCGCCATCTATGAGATTTTTTAATACTAACGTGTGTATGAAACCTCTTATGGTGAATTTTAATTTAGGATTATACGTGAAGTTAAAATATCAATTCACAGAGGGCGCTACCTCATACTATAAAAGATGACTTACAATTATTTACTAATGACAAAATATTACATATTATTATACTTAGACATTTAGGTTATTTACAGCGGCTGCTCCGCCCTTCAAGCCGAAACGCATTACTGCTTCACGGTAGAGCGGTGGTAGCTACCCGTGAGGACTCACAAGAGGCCTTACCATGAGTAATATGTGTATATACAGTGGTGATCATATAATTAGAAACACTTCTTATAAATAAAGAAAGTATAACTTCAACGTACAAATGTTCGTTAAAATCAAACACATCCAATACGTAATTGATAATCATGCAATAATATAGGCACTCAAATAACTCATTAAATGCATAAAATATACCTATCTTACCTTTAATTACAAAATGAGTCGTGTACACAATGTAGGAGTTTTTTCTGTTACTGGCCGCCTAATTAGAAATATTTTGAAAAAGCATCCATAGCCAGCATCCATACCATAAATACCACAAAGTATAGTCAAGTACGGTGGCGGTAACATTAGAGTTTGGGGGTATTTTCCGGATGTGGAATTGAACCCGTTCGGAAAATTGAAGCCACAATGGATCAATGACAATAAAAAATTATCTTAGAGCACACAATGATTCCTTACTCGGACGATCATTTGCCTGTAACCGGGATCTTTCAGCATGACAATGACCCTGAACACACGACCGATAGCGTCAAATGTTTCATTAGCGAACAGCGTATATCCGTTCTAGACTGGCCAGCAAATAGTCCGGATTTAAAATCTCTGGTATACTGTTAAAAAGAAAGTCTCAAACAAACTTAACACCAGTCAAAATGAACTATATGAAGCATATGTTGAAGCGTGGAATTCACGTCCTCGTCGAACCCGTCGCTTGTGACGAAGGGCTCGACGAGCGAATTAACCCATAGACACAGCCCATTGAGTTTCTCGCCGGATCTTCTCAGTGGGTCGCGTTTCCTATCCGGTGGTAGATTCTGCGAAGCACTGCTCTTGCTAGGGCCAGTGTTAGTAACACTCCGGTTTGAGCCCCGTGAGCTCACCTACACACGTTAGGGTGAAGCTGAAATAGCCTCTAAAGGCTATCAGCATAGGTAGAAAAAAAAATGCAATTCAATCTTCCTAGCGAAATGTATGAAATTGATTGAATCAATGCCACGTCGTTGCAGTGCGGTTATTGAAAATAAGGGATATGCCACTAAATGTTAATTATAACTATTGGTGGGCTGTGGATAGTGGCTATTTCGTATTTTTTACTGGTGGTAGGACCTCTTGTGAGTCCGCACGGGTAGGTACCACCACCCTGCCTATTTCTGCCGTGAAGCAGTAATGCGTTTCGGTTTGAAGGGTGGGGCAGCCATTGTAAGTATACTTGAGACCTTACAACTTATATCTCAAGGTGGGTGGCGCATTTACGTTGTAGATGTTTATGGGCTCCAGTAACCACTTAACATCAGGTGGGCTGTGAGCTCGTCCACTCATCTAAGCAATAAAAAAAAAAAAAAATCAATACTAATTACTAATACTTAAAAAATATTGTTTTTTATATATATTTGTTGTTGTTTATAATTAGTTGACCATTAATATTGTAATATTGATAAATCGTTGAACTTAATGTTGTCCTATTTACTGTTTAATTTCAAAATAAAAACGAATGCGGTAGAGTATCTTACATAATATCAAGGACCGTTGTTAGTGTTTCTAATTACACGACCACCACTGTATATCATTATCGTTCTCCTGCCCTTCTCCCAGGGGTTGGTGCAACATGTTTTCTCCTTTCATACTCCTCTATCATATACAATTTCTTCACTGACTCCCCCCTTACACATATCGTCTTTTACGCAATCCATCCATATTTTCTTAGGTCTACCTCTTCCTTTAAAGCCTTCCATATTAATAGTTAAAACTCTCCTACCTCTTCCTCGAAAGCCTTCCACATTCATAGTTAAAACTTTCGATAACGAACCACGAAATTAGTTCATTTCCCAAAAAAAAATTCTCTATTATCGGCGAGTACTCAGCTTGCTTTCGGTTTGTCGACGACACAAGATTACGGTCGAGAGGTTGGAGGACCTCAGTAAGATGGTCAACGACTTCAGTAGGGCTTTTGTGGGCCTTAATGGATAAATCGGAAATTATGTCGAGCGCCCATGTAATATCCACCCCAGTAAAGATCGGAAGATTTATGCTCGAAGCTGTTGATGAGTACGTCTACCTGGGACAAATTATCCTACTAGGATCACCTAGATCACCATTTATCTCTTTCTCGAAGTAGGTCGTCAAATCCAACAGCTAGGTTGGGCAGCGTTCCGGAAGCTGCGTAAAATTTTCTCCCCCCAAATACCGCAGTGTCTCAAGACGAAAGTCTATGGATCAGTGTGTGTTCCCAATGATGACATACGGCAGTGAGCTGTGGTCGCTGACAATAGGCTTTATCAGAAAGCTCAAAGTCACTTAAAGAGGATTGGAGAGGGCTATGCTTGAAGTTTCCCTGCGAAATCGAATCGGAAAGGAGCTGAAGAATCGACATAGCCCGAAGGATTGCAAGATTGAAGGGTCAGTGGGCAGGTAGATAGATAGTAGATATCCGCTGGGGCCAAAAAGTTCTCGATTGGCATATGCGTACCGGAATACGTGGCGTGGGTAGGCCTCCCACGTGGTAGACCGACATTTTAAGAGTCCGCTGGATGCAGACTGCTCAAGACCGGTAGTTATGGCGAATTTTGGGAGTGGCCTATGCCCAGCAATGGACGTCTGTGTGCTGCTGATAATAATGTTGTGCCGGTCCAGCGTTAGCTCGATCATTCATCCAATATAAATATCTTTCGGACCCTAAATAGCGAATATTATTTCAAGTGTTTAAAATGACTTAATACCCATAATCCTCGTCCCAGCTCATGACCCTCAACTCCACGACTACTTATGAAGTTAAAACACTTGAAGTTGTTACTCAGTACCGACGATTCGCGTATTCGAAGATCGACTCGTATCGATCCCTTGACCTAGTTCCCGGTGCAGCCCGGTCATGGCTTAAGGGGAATATTCACTGAGATAATAGAACAAGATCATACATACAATAGTCAGATCAGAGATATGACATAGATACATTTAAATAATTGTAGTTGTTATAAATACAGTAATTGTACCTACTAGTTGTAGTAATTGTAGTAACTATAATTGAGACCTTAGAACTTATATCTCAAGGTGGGTGGCGCATTTACGTTGTAGATGTCTATGGGCTCCAGTAATCACTTAATACCAGGTGGGCTGTGAGCTCGTCCACCCATCTAAGCAATAAAAAAAATTACATTAAGAGTCTGTTTCCAAAATTTTTTCTGCCACGTACCATCCGGATTTGGAATGAACTACCCCCTCCATAGTGTTTCCCGAGGGTTATGACATGTCCTTCAAACGAGACTCGCGGAGGGTATTCAATAGAAGGCAGCGACTTGGCTGTGCCCCTAGTATTGCTGGCGTCCATGAGTGATGGTACAAAACACGGTACAAATTACAATATTCGGGAAGCAATTGTGAATCTTGATTTACGGTTTGATAATCGTTGGAGTCTATGGAATCTTTTTTTTTTGTTCCTACCTAAGCTGATAGCCTAGAGAGACCATATCAGCGTCACCGGGCTAGTAGGTGAGCTCACGGGGCTCAAAACTGACGATGTTGCTAATACGAACCCTAGCAAGAGTCATGCTTCGCAAAACCTACCACCCGATCGGAAACGCGACTCATTGAGAAGATCCGCCGAGAAACTCAGTGGGCTGTGTGTGTGGGTTAATTTACTCGCCGAACCCTTCATCGCAAGCGACGGGTTCCAACAGTTTAGTATAAGGCTTTGAGTTCAAAGTTCAAGGTGGTAAACGGATGCTAACAATATTCCTTGCTTTTCTCTATTTCATGACGAGCAGTGGCGCCCTTAAATAATTACTTAAATGACAACGAAAGCCTATAGATATCACAAAATGAATCTACCGGCACTGATCTTGAGACGTAAGGTTGGTCTCATTTGTGTGATTATAGCCATTCGAGCTCACA